AAATATGCGTCATTCGTGATTGCGTCAGATTTTCATCACGCCCAGAAATATTGTTTACATTGTCGATTAGTTGTCCTACGGCCATTGTCTGCGATGTACGTTACTCCAAATAAGCATACGGAAATTGTAACACTGCCCGGGCACACTGGCAAGCCTTACCAGTGAGAAAATCAAAGTATTATAGATTGGCCCGGTCACTCTCCTGAATTAAATCAAATCGAGTATCTGCGGTCAATCTCTAAGGATCGACTTCGTGGAATGGACATACGAATTACTAACATGTGCACTGGGTCATGTTTCATTGGAAAAATACGGAAAAAACGTAAATAATAACGGAATTGTTTTGTTTCAATTAATTTGCACAAGTGTCTGTAATACTAGAAGACGTTCCTACTCAAACGACTTCGATCTTCGCCAACTGCGTTTCTATCGTTGCATTATAATCAAAAAAATAATTTCTGTGCAAACTGTTATGTAATGTCGATCTTCCTACGAGCATCCTAACCTACAGCATTTGCTTATACGCCAAGCTTGCATAACTATAATACTTGTGACCTTGGTAGATCCTAGTTTAGGTTATTTGAAGCCAAATATATATTTAATTTCCGCCAGAATACACACGATCTTATAGCGAATCTGGACAATATAAGTGAGCAACGACGCTTGACGACTTGTCTTCATTAGAGACGTTTTCAGACACTGTGATCTGCTAATAAAATATTATTCGCCCGATGCCAACGAGCAAGAATTTAGGAAAGGAGATGACAACAGAGTAACACATTTTGTCCCATTGATTAGATGACTTCGTCTTCCAATTTCCATCTTTCAGCGCTGATTGGGATCTGAAGACAACAGAATTGTAGTAATCATAAATCGCTCGTCTGTGAATCCATCTAAAATCCCAAGACAATCGACGCAGCTAATTAAGAGTACAATGCGTGTATGCTTGAATGGTAGTTAGGAAGTGGGTGTTTTCCAAGGGTCCCGAACTGAATAGTGAATCCCACGAGAAGTCGTAATGACGTGGCACGGCGTATAATTGATAGCTTTGATGAGACAAGTGAGCGAAAGGGAAGAACGGATCAAAAGCTCTTTTCTCTATCTATACTGATCTGGACGCAGGTAAGGAATGTTAGAAAGAAGAGAAGGAAATAAGAACTTGAAGAGAAATTCGATATTCCACGAAGAAAAAGAATCATACATGAGGATGATATAAGATAGACAATCAATCAGTAAACTCAAATAAATAAGTTATGTTCCCGCTGTTCATCTCGAGGTTCTCGACAAAATCCAAAGACGGATATGCAATGTGATAGGTCCTGACCTGGCATCTCGACTCCAGTCAATTTCTCACAGACGTGATGTGGCTTCCTTCTGTCTTTTTTTTACAAATACTTTCATTTAACTGCTTTGACGAGCTATTTTCACTGGTGCCCCAACTGCATGAATTTATTCGTGTTACTGGGTTGGCATTTCGGTCCCACCCTTTCACCGGCGAAACAATTAAATGTGACTGCATCTTCTACACCAACAGCTTCTTGTCTCACATTTCCCGACAGTGAAATTTATTTCCTCTCATTTGCTTCCCTGATAATTATAATCGTCACATATTTAAATGTAATGCCAATCAGCATCTTCTGATGCCTTGATCTTGATCTCCGTACTTTTCTTTATCATTCTCTGAAACATACCTCTTTATTGTTGTTTTCACTCTGTATAATCCCTTGCGTGCTCGTGGCACTCCCATCTTGCTTGTGGGTGAAATAAAGAAGTCTGATTATTGAAACAGCTATTGGGAGAATTTCACTTTTTGTGTGTTTCATTTCTTCTTCTTCTTCTTCTTCTTCTTCTTCTTCTTCTTCTTCTTCTTCTTCTTGCCGTCTCCCTTCAGATCATGGAAGGTCATTTTCTACCATCTTTAGCTCGTTGTGCTATATTTCCTGATCCCTTTTCTGTCAACCAAGATATGTAGGTTACGCACTGTTTTCTTCTGCCCCTCTTGCTTTCAATATGACCTATGTCACATCTCCAAATCGTCTTTCATCAGTATAAGGCCTAGAACTTTTTGTGTCGCTATATATAATTGTAATTTTTGTTTCTATTTTCTCGAAATCTTCGTCGTTGCTCACGTGTTCAGTTCATGGTATTGTGAGCGTCCTTCTGTAGAACCAGGTTTCTGTTAACTTATGTCTCCTCTCCATCTGTAATGAGATGGTCCAGCATTCACTGCCATATATTGATTTTCTAAGCTTAGTTTAGATGTGGGACGAGAACGAAAGTGTCTTTGGTTTAGATTGGTTTAGTAAAGTAAGTATTCTTTGGTTTACGGCATATGGGTTATTTAATGCCGACAACATTTTTAGGATAGATTCGTATGAATAGAATATGTATTCTTTGGTTTAGATTGGTTTGGTTTATTTTGTTTTACAGTATATCAACCTCAATGGTTTATTTAATGCCGACAACATTTTTAGGATAGATTCGTATGAACAGAGTATGTATTCTTTGGTTTAGATTGGTTTGGTTTATTTTGTTTTACGGCATATCAACCTCAATGGGTTATTTAATGCTAACAAAATTTTTTATTGCTGGTAATATTTTGATTTGTCAAAAACCTGTTTCTGGTAATATTTTTCCTTCAAAGTTTTATTGCTGGTAATATTTTTTTTCAAAAAAGTATTGCTGTTAATAGTTAACTATTTGCTCGTAGCTCAGACCCTAACAGATGCTACCAGTCCGGGTCAGGGTGGACGTGGGAACACCAGCAATTAAGAGGTGGTTCCACGCTCCTCAAAACCTCCTGATCAGACGCCTTGCCGCTGGACATAGTTTAACGTCTTACCCAGGACGCGGATGTAGTTTAACGTCTTACCCAGGACGCTGAACAAAAGTATGGTGCGCCCAGTGAGGATAGAATTTACTATTCAGTTGTAATTGTTTTAACGAGACAAGATTGCTAACTATTAAACCAAGCAAAAGTGCCCCATTCGCTGCCATATATACATAGTTCATAACTAACTTCTTTGTTTCTAATTACATTATTTCTTATATCAATACTTTCCTTGCGTTACAGAAGAGATCATTCGCTATCCTAATGTATCCTTGATTTCCCGGTTGCATTTCCCGTCCTTTGTTTAAATTATTCCCAAATATGTTACCTGATTAATAAATCACTGAATGCAAAGCATTTTCATGGATGAAGAATATTTTTAAAATAAATAGTTCACGTAAAATAATTTCCGTGATTAGGAATTAGAAATATTGAAGCAACAAAAGTCGCACTGAGGAGCTGTACTGTCTGTTTTGGAACACACAACCCTAAAATTTAAAATTCAAACTCAGCGTTGCGACCGCACGATCCAAAACAATAACACATTTCTCATAGCATTTTTTCGGATTACATCTATATTTTCGTTGTCCTCTTAGTACCGAGAAGTAAAAAACAAGAACAAATCTATTTCCATACCTGAGGGGTTAGTGTACCTTATTGAAATTGTTTGCGAAGATGTATTCTCGCCATTTAAATCATTAACCTCTATATTTGTTTTTGTTTTTTTGTATAAATGATTCATGTAATTATATATATATATATATATATATATATATATATATATATATATATATATATATATATATATATAATTCAATATGGATTATATACCTACGGATTTATTACCTGAACTATATATATATATATATATATATATATATATATATAAGTGATGGAAGTTTTGGGGTATTTGAATAATCATTTATAGTAATAATTCGTGGAGAAAATCCTCAACAGAATGCACAAATCACCGGACGGCCATTTCTTCGTATTTGAGACTCAGTCGCAGTGGGCATCCACTACCGAGACTCGAACCCGGATTATTAGTATACAATAGAAGCGACATACCACTAGACCAACGGTGAAGAACCAAACTAGACCAGATACTGCGCAGCTAGATATCCCATTTTTATTTCCAGATATGTGCAGGGAACCAACGAATCGTAGAATCATGACTCTATTTTTATTCCTACCAAATACAACGATACAGCAAAAAGAATCAGAAATAAATCGATTATGCTAATCTTCCAATAAAAATAATACCTATATCTCAATCTATCAGAAGTACCATTCTATACTAAAGCTGCTGCTCGTGTGAAATACAGAAGATGAAGAAAATATTGCAGATAAAAATGAAGAATTGGCCAAAAACCATTCAGTTAATAAGACACAGTCATTCTCTTGGGATAGACTTAATAATTTCGTCAGAAGTCTTGGTATCACAAAAGATGCTTATGATCTCTTGTGGTCCAGAGTAAATCAAAAATCAATGACCGCAGAAACCCTTATATCAAGAAAGTACTTCAGCTTGGTATCGAAATAGAAAACGATAATGCAAAATATTTCATCAAAGTCGGATGCTTACAATATTGCATGTGGTCTAGGACAAAAGCTAGGATTAGATTAAAATTCAGTAAATGGATAGCGGCTCGGATTGAGGAATCGGAGAGCCGAGTTCGAATTCTAATCGAATCCATTACATTCACTTACGTGCTAATAATCTTAGGAATACTCTTCTTCTTCCAGCTATGGGTAAATAGCAGGACTGATCGGGTTCTATAGCTTTGGATGGCAACTGGTCTACCTCAGAAAGAAATGCCAACCTAGTGTGGGAAAAAAATCTGCCTCGTCAGTCAATGAGGAATCGGAGAGCTGAGTTCGAATTCCAATCGAATCCATTACATTCACTTAAGTGCTAATACCCTTGGGAAAGGTATAAATTCTTTACTTCTCCTTCCAGCTATCGGTAAATAGCAAGACAGACTGGGGTCTATAGCCTTGGATGGCAACTGGTCTACCGTAGAAAGAAATGACAACCTACTGCAAGAAAAAAATCTGCCTCGTCAGTCATGATCGCCACGCGTGTATCACGTATGGAACATAACTGACTGACTAAAGTAAAGGTTATGGATTCATCTAAAGTCAATTAAAAAGTTAAGATTTCATTAAAATGTGGAACGTGACATCTATCTATCTATCTATCTATCTATCTATCTATCTATCTATCTTATTCTTTGCAAATTTATCGACCCAAATATTTAATTCTCGCCAAATTTACCTTTCTATCTATGTCGCTTCATCTATCTATCTATCTATCTATCTATCTATCTATCTATCTATCTATCTATCTATCTCCGAAGAGTTATACACCCTTTGTTCGGAATAGCTATGAATATTAAAAGAAAATTAAAAAAATGTTATAAAACTTTATTTTATTAATTTATATATTTAATTTATATATAATTTTATCTAATATATTTTTATATTATATTTTTATATTTTCATTTCTTTATATTTATTTTTTTTTCTCCTGTCTTTTTGTAATATTTTCATAAAACTTTTAATTTTGTAATATTTTCATATACATTTTTACAATAATTTTATACATTTTTGTTATGTATGTTTATTATTTTATGATATATTTTTTTATTTAAAAATAATACGACATCTCTCAAAGACATATATCCATCTCGGCTTACTAATAAAAATTCCTCACTACAAAGGTAAGAGTATGTAGCTTAAAAATCGTTTAAATATATCAGAAGCACTTCTAATAAAAAGCAACAAAACTATCCTTAATAGTACCTCATACGAACGTGTCCAGTATACTCTGTTTAGAACATCAAGAACAAATACACTAAGGAGTATTACTACGTCAGAAAATGCCTCTTTAAGAACTCAGTACAGAAAATAGAATAAAAATATATTAATAATCCTAGTTGCTACGAAAATTACCCGTCCTTGAAATGGTTTAAATATTAGTCTAAAGGGGAAAAATAAATACACACACACACACACACACACACACACACACACACACACACACACACACACACACACAGCCATCCCTTTCTCCCAGCCTCTAGGGGCTTTATCGCTATTTCCATGGAAAGTGTTCAAATGAAGTATATTCCTTAGATCCACCTGTCCTAACCTTTACGACTAAAACTCGTCATCCCAAACCTATTGCAGTGAACCAACCACATTCCTTTCATATTCCACTGATGTAAGTTCTATTCGAGTAGCTTCTTGCCACGGCCAGCTGCTTTTCAAATTCGACTCCCAAGAGGATGCTTCCCTGGTCAATACAATCTTAACTTGTTCAAGTTTAGAGTCGACCATTCTCTTCCCCACATATCCTCACAAACGGTGCCTCATCAGCGTAAATCTCTGCTTCACGGAATTCTTGAGCCTCGTACAGGAAGAATATCACTGAGAAAAAAATCTGTTTTTATTGTAAAGTTTTTGTACCATTACTATTCATTTGATATTTTATGATAAAAATTTATGGCCGTGTTTCCTCTTCCCAAGATTTTAATGTTCTTAATATTGAACTCTAAGCAATGAACTATTCCAATATATTATGCTATATATCTTCTCTAAACAGTAGAAGCGTTGCAATAAATGTCACCCCGAGTAGACGTTTTGGTATAATGACATTTATCGCCATTGAAGATTACTCAAAAATTATATGAAATCTTAAATTTTTTTGCTAATAATATAATGTTTCCATAATGGTTTGCAATTTTTTTTTGTTGTGGCAATATTTAAAGTAAAAATAACATACCTAAACAAAAATATATTAGGTTTTGAAACCCATTCACAATTTTTGCATTTTTCTCTATATACCATGGTCTTTCATGATTTGAAGATTATGACCCTTCACAGATTCCTTTATTTGTTTCAGTTAGCAATATTTTCCTTTATTCTCCCTTTTTGATTTGTATCATCTGTTATTTCATTTACTCGTAATTGCTAAGTAGTCTTATATTGGTTTCCTTAACTTCATTAATCCTTGAAATTGTTAATATCTCCAAGTTTCTTTCTTTTGCATATGTCAGAGTCAGTTAGTATCAATATCTTTGTATTTCCTATTCTTCTTGAATGTTTCATGTTCTTCAAAAACATTGTTATGCTATTCTCAAAATACCTCTGTAAAACGAAATCTGTCGCTTAAGGTTTTTGATTTATCTGTGACAAATTATGTAGCCTTTGGAAAACTATAAGCTTTTAGAAAATCTATTTCCTTACATGCTTGATTTTGACGTTCCCATTATGTAATATCTTACATCATTGAATGTCCATTTTGCTGACAATTATGTTTTATTTTTGGATTACACTTCATATTTAATTTTTTCTTCTTGCGTACAACTCCTTTGCATACTAGTTCTTTTGGTTTTCATTTTAAACTTTCCAATATTACGTGAGTAGATAGAATTTATTATTAATAAGCAATCCTGTGTGTCTTTTGAAAACTTCCGGTAAAAGTTAAAGAAATATTTTGTGCTACGTAATGCATATATATATATATATATATATATATATATATATATATATATATATATATATATATATATATATGTGTATATATATATATATTTGTGTGTGTGTGTGTGTGTGTTTAGGCAGCCAATTCTCTTTTAGGCTTCTCTGATTGAATAGATTACAGACATTGTGTCTGTTAATTCTTAACAAAATTCGTTCATACTTACGAATAAACTTCCGTGTATTGATGTTGAAGGATGAGAGAAATGTGCTATAGCCGTTTAAATTTCTTTTGTCTTCATTTCCCAAGTACTTTCGATCTTTTTCCAAGATCAACTTCAGGGGTGCAAATAATACAAAACTATATGTTGTTCATTAATATATGTATTTATACAAAGATGTGCATTGCTATCCATTACCGTAATTTTTCACATTCTAATGAACGCTCATCTTGAATAAATTGTAAAATATCCCTGGGATAATATATATATATATATATATATATATATGTGTGTGTGTGTATGTGTGTGTGTGTGTGTATATATATGTTTTTATAACACTATTGGACTAATTCAAAATGTATAATTCCTCTCCAAATTTAAGAGAAGAATCGTGATAAAATCGATCATAATCGAATATTAATTAATCATAGATAATGATCGAAAGCTCATGAGGGATTAAAAGTAAGTTCAAATATATATATAAAAACCTCGGAGATTTCCAGTAAGATATTTTTAATCATTTCTGAGATAGACCGGTTCAAATCTTAATCTAATAAATGGACAATTTTGCTTTTACATGATTTCGACAATTTTGCTGTTACACCGGATATATATTCGGCATGAATGAAAATACTAAGCCCCAGTATCTTCCGGAAATTTGATCAAAGAACAAAAGAAATTGTCTAAATCACTTCTTCCGGTCGGGGTCATATACCATCCCTCGTAAGTGTCGGGGTTATGTTACACTTCCATTACAATGAGAGGGTTTGCGGTTTCCCTGCATAAAATATCATTAAAATGTGTTATTTCTTTGTCTTGTCATTTAAATAGCACTTAAAGTATTTTGTTCCGACATGTTTGGACAGCTAGCTTTCGTATGCTCGCAAATAACCCTTTCAAGCTCTTAGACAAAGCTGGATCACCCGACCTAGAAATTATCCGACAGGCAATCGAGCGTGTGTGAACGACTCAAAGGTACCAAAAAAATACCAAATCCCAGCTGTATTTATTTATTTTCTAATCTGGGACATGTCTTTGAGATTTCATTTTGATGTCATTTCAAATGACAGAGTGCATAAATAAAACTTACATTGACGAATAATTATTTCATACTGACTGCATGTTGTTGAATATCTTTCGTTCTAATTGTTCATAGAAACATCATGAAAATAAAGGGGGTTTTTCATCAGTAAGAGCGACTTGGATTTTTCAGTCATTCGTAAACATAAAAGACATTCATGTATTTATGCCAATTCCTACAGAATAAAACGAAGACTTACCGGTTAAATCATCTGGGAAACAAAAAGGACATTTATAACTAACAATAGAAACTTAAATTTATAAGGAACATAATGAGAAAGTAGAATTTTAGACATTGACACTTACACGATATATTGAAAGAATACGTGAGAGAGAAAAGTAGAATTTAACCTGCCAAACGAGTTTTAGTAAATGGCTGACAGAACAGGGATTAGGAGGGATAACATAAAGACAAAATTTACTAAGATCTACAAAAGGGAGAAAATTATAGAGCTGGGATCGCCTACGTCCTGAAGAAACACTGCACATATATGAGGAACTGCTATATAGCCTTGACATATTTGGGAAGGATATTAGAATAATCCAGGAAACAAACTGGCAGCAAACAGCCTCCATACGTATAGAAAAGGAATTCGGTATATATACAAAAATAGAAAGTACTCTAAGACAGTGATATGTCTTCTAACCGGAATTATTCAACATCTAGAGTGAGGCAACTCTGTGAGAATTAGTAGTCCTATGAGGATTCATTATTTGTGTTCCCAATCTTAACAGCATACGATATGCAGATGACAGAACATTGATAACAGACACTGAAAGAAAACTACAATAACTCCCATAGAAGGAAGAGAGGGAAATAAAGATGAAAGGTCTAAACATCGATTGTAAACATCGATAGGATTGCTGGTCAGTCTACTCACAGATCAAAAGAAAATTTGAGGCAACAGAGATGTGGTTCAGCAGAAGGATACTTAGGATACCATGGATCGAACATGTGATCAACGGCGACGTTTTAGAGAAAATAGAAACAAAAAAAAAAAAAGAAAACACTTCTACATAACACCAGTAAGAGAAAGTTGTAATTTCCAGGACACAAAATGAGAAAAGACAGCTTGTAAAATTTGATACTCAAAAGACAGATTGAAGAGAAGGCGGGGACGGAGGAAAAACATGCATAGCTTACCTAGCGAACTTGAGTAAATAGATAGCAGAAGAAGGTTTAGGGGAGAATAACATAAAGCCAATATTTGTTAAGAGTTACAAAGTTCAAGAAATTGTTGTGGACCATAATCGCTAAAGTCTTGAAAAGATTCGACACATGAAAGAAGAAGACGACGAATTTAAATGTATCCCTATAATGCACCACAATAAAATGGAAAGATGGCTTTCAAAATCTCTCAGCAAATCAAATATTACTGCACATATTGAAAAGGAAGTTTCTGATCGTGTTTCTCGATTACAATTGTCTATTTTGTGTGTGTGTGTGTGTGCGTGTGTGTGTGTGTGTGTGTGTGTGTGTGTGTGTGTGTGTGTGTGTGTGTGTGTAACATTAGACCCGACGCAGAAATGAATATTGCGTTCCCTCATCAAGAATTCATTTCTGAGATGCCATACTGTCTATCCAACATGGGCTACTGGAATGTTAGGGTCACCAATGTTAAAAACCGCAAAATCTACACACACCTTCAGAAATTATGAAGAGATAGAAAAATTATCCGTTATTAAGAAAAATGAAAAGGACACTGAAATGTTATGTAATATCCTCCTATATGTCAGCGAATGATGTACAATATATTCACTGATAAAGAACAAATGATCTGGAAAATGATACTGGAAATTCCATGGGCGGAACATGTGTTCAACGGGGAAGCTTCAAGGATATATATATATATATATATATACAAATATACACTTTCATTTTAACTCCGACGCAGTTGTAAATTCTGGGAAACATAATGGAAAAAATAGATTTGAAAACAATCGTATGAGTATTAAACTCACGACCTTTAGAAAGCAAAAGAGGTAAAATAAATAACATAAATAAAGTAACATAATGAGTTTTTGAAAATGAATGACATAGTGGGTACGAAAAGTGATAATAAAGTCAAACCTTTGCTACAAAGAAGAGGAAGTTGGGGAGAGCCATGATCATTCAAGTCATTAAGAGACACGACGCATAAAAGAGTAATCGTGTTTAGCAAAGAAGCTCAATCAGTGTATGTATAAGGGCCGCACATTAAAAATCAGAGATCCGTATGTGGTTTGCAAGTCGAGGTTTGGCTTTCTCTGTTATAGTGATTTTCCAAGCGTAGCTTAGATGTGGCACAAGGCCGAAATTAGGGGGCACCCAGTGAGGATAGAACTCACTATTCAGTCGTAATTGTTCTAGCGAGCCAAGCTTGCTAACCATTACACCACCTCGAGGTGCCCTTGGCTTTCTCTGTTATATTCCATTTCCATTGTAACATCACTTGCGCGCCATGCTGACTAATTACATTTCATTGCATTTGTTAGCTCAACGGGAATAACTTGTCGGCACCCATCTCCTCTCTATGAAAATTACACCAGGTTTTACTGGGTTATAAAGTGCCAACCACAAAGAATAACCCTTTAAGGAAAGACGGTGTAATTCTCCATACCGATTGATTTCCAACAACTGTATTTTCACTGTTTAGATTCTTAGGACTGTTGTCCTCATCTTCATTGGTTGGTTGAAGTTATCCAGTCACTTGACACAAAGACTTGTTAGTTCATTACCTGGTCAAAGCCGAGGTTAACAAAAACATAGAAACTTGATTTACTAAAGGAAAATAATTGAAACTGAGATATCCAGAAAAGCCGTATTAGGTACAACAATGAGAAAAATCTACCACAGTGGACTAAACGAAAGGCTTGGTTCTAAATTCGAGCGTATATAATGAAGGTAGACGTAGGAGAGGATGTTGGAATTTTTGGGTACCCTGGTGTACTAGTGAGACAGCCAAAATGTGCTGACTCATTTTATAGTTCACCAGTAGAAGGGTTAACCAATCAGAAGGCTCAAAATATTCAATGCGACGTGTATAAAGGCGGCCATGTTTTTCCTGAATACTGCCAGCCTTTGATATCGAAGACTGAAGAATTACGGAACAGCTGGTGGTGGTATTGGCGATATAGTCAGATTCAGTAGAGTGTCTGACGCGAAAACACATGGCCCAATGTAGGGAGTGCACTGACAATTACTTTGTCATCAAATTCAAGAAACAACGCTTCATCCACGTAGGACAATTCTGAGTAGAGAACATGGGGACTTAAACCTGTGCTGCCTGCTGATGAGTGCTGCCGCTGCTGCTTGACTGTATTAAAACCTTCGTTTTTTCTGACTGCAGTTTATGTTGCTGCTGCTAGTGTATTACAGAAAAATGAAATTACATATTGTGGATGTCAATAAAATGTGAAAAAGTCATTTTTATTAGAAAATATTTCTTTTCCTCTGGCAGTATTTGCCCACAAGTTGAGAGATACTATTATTGATTATGTAATCATTATAGCAAAAAATGGCATCTTTAGCATTGATAGCATGCTAAAAAATAATATAATCTACTCATTTATGTCGTACATCACGTGTTAATCCGGGCCTTAATTCCCACGCCTTTCTTCATTGATTTATTATTCGCACTAAAGCAAGGAATATACGATATTCCATTGACCAAATGAAGCAATATTTCAAAAGACAAACGCAAACCAGTTAAAATACCTCATCTCAAAAATATAGACAGATCTGAAGCAGGCCGGAGCGTACAGCTGCCGAGACGTTGAGAATATGACAATGAAGATAAGGGGGACAGTCTGAACAATGGCAATAGTTACAATGCCTCATCTGAGAAATAGAGACAGAACTTTAAAGACGAAGACAAAGGTTAAAGTATCGGTCTGAAAAGTTAACATGGGACATCAGAGGAATTTGATTCAAATAATTCTTAAGGGCATAAGTGCGAAAGTGAATGCAACTACAATGGTCAAAGTTTGAACTCGCCTCCCCGACGGAAGTTTACACACCGATAACAGTTAAGCTGTTGTGGATTCCGGGATGTAATCCGGTCTCAAATGAATGACAAACGCAGGAATGAAATATAGCAAATAAATGTATTGACATAATAATACAATTGGTAATACGGTTAGTAGATCCAGAAATGCGGTTAGTAGCAATAATAATATATATACAGTCTGGGAAATTCAGTATCGAAGTATGACTTCCTTCTGAGTCTACGTGCTCGCAACTGTGACTCCTACCAAGCGGTTACCTCACACTCTCACTCTCTCACTGTATCACTTCCGGGTATTCACCGGCAGCAGTACAAGTATATACTGGGCGAGTCCACTTGTATAAAAAGGGGTGGACCCCATAACACTATCACACGTCTTCCAAAATAGGTTCCAACGAAAAAGCTACTGACAAGCCAACAGATATTAAGAAAAATCTTCTAACCCAGTTTAATTATTAATAGCTATGTACACAAGACCAGAGATCATGACATGCAACTAGAAATGGCTTTGAAACATCCGATTTGGTTTGGTTTGGTTTGTTTTTACGTCATATAAAACCGAATGGGCTATTTAATGCAGACAAGATTTTTTTATTGCTGTTAATATTTATTTTTTTTTAAAAATGTATTTTTCCAAAACTTCATTGCTCGAAATAATTTTTTCCAAACACGTATTGCTGGTGCTGAAACCAATTTTTACATTTTCATAGCGTTTTTACCCCAGTTTGGGGATTAACTATTTGACCATAGCTGGGACCCAAATAGGTGCTTCCATCCCGGGTCAGAGTGGACCTAGGAACACCAGCAATTAAGAGGGGGTTCCTTGCACCTCAAAACCTCCTGATCAGAAGCGTTGCAGTAGGATGTAGTTTATCGTCTTACTTCGGACTCGTATGAAGTTTATCGCAATATCAAGGACGGTTGAAACATTCATTTACTTTCATATGAAATTCATTCAAAGATATCATTTCTATTAAGGCTTCATTACTAATTCCTTTGTATTCCTATCGAACACAGTCAGCCATTCATTCAATCTCCGATCACTTGCCATTTACGTTCGAGTTCATTTACTTTTCTTCTGTGTAAGGTACAGTGAATACCTACATATAGTTCTTAAGATTGTTTTGTTTATCACCTGGTAGTGAGAGTCTGCCTGGCAAAATCCTTTTTTTTCAGTTTAGGGCCGAAAAACCACCTCTATCAGAGATAAATACGTATTAAATCAGTATTATCTCTCCAAAATCTTCCAATCTAAAAATATTTCCTGGCTTTAAATAAGTTGCAGAAGGTCGACAAACCGTAAAAAAAATATATCAAAGTAAACTTGTTAACTTAAAATTTTATTTCGAAACGAAACAGCTACTGGCAAATCAAAAGGCATTAAGAAAATCGTCAACCCGGTTTGACTATAAATAACTATACACACAAGCCCAGAGATCATGACATGCAACTAGAGATGGCTTTGAAACATTCATTTACTTTTAAGTGAAATTCTTTCAAAGATATGATTTCTGTTAAGAATTTATGACTGATTTTCTGCTTCGTTTGTTTTCTTATCGAGCATCAATCATATATGGTTCTTAAGACTACTTTGTTTAGCATCAGGTAAAAAAAAAAGAATCTGTTTAGCAAAATCCTATTTTTGCAGTTCGGGACGAAAAACCACTCCAGCAAAATAGATACAGTAGGATTGAATAAATGATCATACAGCAAACAAATGCCTGTTATTCTCACTTATAGTGAATGAAAACATCGAATAACAATGTTAGATATGTATTTTGGGTCATAGAATCAGAATCTGCAGTTTAAAATGAGAAATTCATCGATAACTGATAGTTATGCACATTTTTATATTTCGCATTGTGAAAAAAGTGTTCGTACAGTATCAATTTTTGCATAATAATACGGTGGATTTTGGTTGTACATCAAAGTAGAAGATTCTAAATTGTTCTAGAATATTTTCAGTAACTCTATTGCAGCATTCCGTTCAAAATTAAATCATTCTGCAGTCACTGTACACTGATAACGCTTCTAATAATGGCTAGACGTAAGGAAATGACTTGTGCTCAAAAAGAGCTAAATATTAAACTGTGGAACAATGGAAAAAGTTACAGAAACATCTCCAGTGACACGAACATACCTTTTTCAACAATTGGTTCATTTATTGCAAGATTTAAAAGATGTAATACTGTTAAGAACAAAGGCAGGCCCAGTGCTCCCAGGAAGATCTCTCCCAGATTACGAAGAAAGTTGATGCGGCAGGTCCAGTATAACCCAATGGCCATCAGACAAGACCTTCTGAATGATCTGAATTTGTCAGGAGTTAACTAAGCAAACGATTAGTAATAAACTACGCAGAGACGGTATAAAGACGCGCTCCTCAAGAAAGACAGCACTCCTTCTGAAACGGCATAAAGATGCCAGGTTGAAATTTGAAACAGAGCATAAAGATAAGGAAAATTCTTATTGGGAAAGAGTTCATTGGACAGATGAGAGTACAATTGAGTTGTTCGGTCGCATTTCCCTGAATCATATATGGAGGAAAGATAGGGAAACATACGCTCCCAAGAACACTATACCAACTGTCAATTTTTGGTGGGGATACTATTATGGTTTGGGACTGCTTTTCGATGTGAGGTGTTGGCAAACTAGCAATTATAGACGGTAGATTGAATGCAGAAAAAATATCAACAAATCCTAAGCGAAAATTTATCGCTTCCTGTAGATAATCTTGGGTTTCCTCCTGATTGGCTTGCTAATAACAACGTTAACATCTTACAATGGCCCAGTCAGTCGCCGGATTTGAATGCAATAGAGAATTTATGGCAGTTTTTGAAAAATAAGATCCATGATAGAGGTCAAACAATCTCATCTATCCCTAGCTGTGGGTTGATCACGAGATGTAAAATTAAATCACTATTATCTCGCCAATATAAAAATATGTTCTGGCTTTAAATAAGTTGCAAGGTCGATAAGAGTTAACCTGTTAAAGTTTTCTTTCGTCCCTTTTCTTTTCGTTCCGTTTTCTTACGTTCTTCGAGTTTCTGTTTTTAGATACTCCTCTCTTCCTTTCTTTTTTATCTCATTTTCTTCTTTGTTTCTTTTCTTCCTTTGTTTCTTATTTTCATTTTTTCTGTCACATTTTCCTATCGCTTTTTATTTCCTTCTTCGATTTTGAACTGTTTTTTTTTTTTGCAAAAGACCCTTTTCTTGATTTCCTCATTATTTCTCCATTTGATTTCGCTTCTTTATGACCATTCTTTCTTTTCAATATTCTTGTTTTTTTTTCATATCTTTTTCTCCTCCTCTACTTCCTCCACATCCTCCTTATTCTTCTTCACATTTTTCCCCAGTCTTTCATTCGTTGTTTTGTTTTCTTTCTTTTCAATACTCTCGCGTTTTTTTCTTTTCACCACCTCTTTCTGCAATTTCTCGCATTTTTTCTTATTTCACCCAGAAAGATGGAAGGAAAGTAAAAGAGAAGAAATAAAAAAAAGCGAATAAAAATTCGATTTTTTTTCCTTTTTCCCTTTCTTCCATCTTTCTTTCCATTATATTTCTTTTACTTAAGCTATTTTTCTTTATTTTCGGTTTCTTTTTTTCTATCTGTATTTTTGTTGGGCTGGTTCTACTCTTCATCCATCGTCATATCTTCCAATCTATTTCAGTCATATCTCATGTAGATTGATTCTCATGTGAGTCCAATTCTTGTGGTTTCTTTGAGGAAAATATCGACTTTGTACAAAAACCTAAACCGGAAATTTATCAAGATATCGCCAAAAGATGCAAAAGAAATGGCTAGACGCCCAATCCATTGGGTCGGGATAAAGGTTTATAGAGCTTTAAAGGAATGTCTAAGACTATATTTATATATTTGTACAATGACATTCGTGCCAATTTACAGAACTAACTTCCGGCATCTTGAGGCAGATTCATGTGTCTATTCTCTCATAACTTGGCATCTTTATACGTTATTAACTGATATAAGGATTTTTTACAGGCCTTCATACAATTGAAGTTCTTTTCATTAATTATTTATGGAACAAAATTATAATCCGAATGTGAAATATTTACATTATTCGGACCATTGATCTCATCTTTGTCGCTATATTTATTACAACGTTCCAGCCTTCTTCAGGTGGTTGGAATATCGAACTGAACCCTTTATTTCGCTCACTGGGGTAGACTGTTCTAGTTCCACGTGCCAAGTTTAATGGATGTCAGTTATCAAATATCTCCTGTTAATTCCCCTGTCCAAGTTCTCCACTGACTTAACCGGGTATTGAACTCACACTCTTTGGGTCCTGTCACTTGATCTAACCAACGCCTTTATCCACTGTCCCATGTATCCTTGAGACAAGTGGAACTAGAACAGTCCACCCCAGCGAGCGAAATTCCAACCACCTGGAGAAGACCTGAGCGTACAATGGCCGAAACGTTGTAATAAATATTGCGACAAAGATGAGGACAATAGTCCCAATAATGTAAATAATGTACATACTGCCTCATCTCAGAAATACAGACAGATACTGAAGATGCAAGTTTATATGAGTACGGTGTTTTTAGTAGAACATCACAGCCAGTCTACCAATTTCTGCTTGTGTCTGAAAAGAGGAGTGATAATTGGTGTAGTCGTATTTAAAAACAACACCCTTCCTATTGGTCGATTTTGGACGATTTTCCATTGGTTTAACAAAACAGTACTGAATACAAAGCTTCTAGGAAAACATTTACTGATAGACAATGCCAAATTATCTGGCTAACCGTGACTCATTTCGTTTGAGCTAGGACCTTTCTTAATCCACATTGTTGCAATCAATCTTTTTTACGTCGTCTGTGATTGTCTATTAAAAATAATGTCTCGTTTTTGCTGCGCTTAATCAGAAAACCACACATGGAAAGGAGGCCCATGATTTTATTTCTGTTAACTCCTATCGATTCATGTATGCTATTATTTCCAAATACTTTACAATGGTTATAAGAGTATTTGTAGTATTTCTACGATGTCCGATTTCGAGATGATCATCGTTAATAACTGCAGTGATGGCGTCATTTCAATAGGTTTGCTATTTGTTCGTTTACCGAAATAAAAATGCTTTAAATAACGAGAATACATCCCATTTTCATCTGTATATATATATATATATATATATATATATATATATATATATATATTTACAATCACATTCCACGAACTATTTAGAGAGAAATATGAACTGAATTTCAGAATAAGTATATATATATATATATATATATATATATATATATATATATATATATATATATATGATTTTAAAAATTATAACTTAAATATTTTATAAAATCACTACAAAAATAGCCATTTTGTAGTGATTTTATAACATATTTATATTATAAATTTTTTATTAATAATTATATCTGCTCTACTTTGTACTGCACACTCTTTTAAGAATAGTAATTATTGGTTATTGGAATTCATTCCGTATATACCAATTATATACTTATATATATATATATATATATTTCAGTTCGATTGTTTTACTTACAGATACTTGATTTTATTAATCGTATTTTGTATGAAATATATTTACTGTTTGAAAAAATAAAGAAATATCCAATTCAGAAAGGTCAATTCAATGTGGTTAATGGAGGAATATTTCATACTCCAATTCCGTTAATTTCTGAACAGTGGTTCATGAAATTTGATCGAACGTTATGGGGAGAAGAACTGCAGTCTTCTGAACAATTTTGAAGTTATTGATCGTAATTTTTCCATGCATGCAATCGATCTTTTGCCAAAAGAGACCTGCATTGCCTAGTCTCACCTACAGCAAAAAAGAATTGTGAATTAACCCTTATTTAACTATTCTACAATCTCGATAATATTATAACGACAGAGAAGTTGTTTCCAGCAAATTATTAGACAATAATAAGATACACTTTCCATAATGTCGCGAAGAAAATGTGTAGACCAAATGGTCAAACCACGCGGTTTCTGTTTTTATTTTTCTATGATTTACATATATATATATATATATATATATATATATATATATATATATATATTCAATATTCATATCACAGCTAAATAACAAGGACACTGAAGAATAATTACATTATCAATATCATGTGGTATAATACAAACATATTACTCTTTTTCTATATACCGTGTCCCTTCAGGACAGAGATGATCATGTCTCTCGATAGCTTCCTGTCCTTTATATTTCTAAGTTGTGTCTTTTTGATATTTCTTCTAATACAGATTTTGTCAATCATCTACACAAGAACCTTAAGTATGTTATTCGCTCATTTTCCAGTGAGTGACAGATTCTCCAAGCCTTCTTTCCTCATTGTGTGGACGTGAGAATTTCAACTGTCACTTTCAGATTATAAGTAAAAGTGCCCTTTTTGTTTCCAATTTCCTTCGAAACTTCGTCGTTGCTCACATGTTTAGTCTATTATCCGCATCTTTCTGTAGAATTATTAAATATGGGAAGCCGTTGGTATAAACCAATGGCTTCTGTTATTAATTATAGGCATTAATGAATATATGTCGAGATTCCCATACTTAATACTTCTCGTTTTCACTCTCGCGTGGTCATGTGTGACGCCACAATCTTCGATGCGATTTTCACTTCCGCGTCTCGTATACACGAGTTTGTCGTTGCTTTGAAATGTTTCATGCAACAAAAACAGACTATCATTATTGTTTCTTCCGTGTATTGTTTTATATATTGAATTGTAATTGTCATCTTTGATTATGGCTTATGTAAGCCGAAAACTTAGATAAGATTTAAACATTTATCAATATGGTGATTTCCTTTCGTCCTTCAATGATAATGTTATTAAGCTTATCAGACAATATGAAAGGAACTTACTTAAAATAAATAGACAAAACCTGTCTATACTATTTAATGAAACATGCATCAATGAAAAATTGCAGCCTAAATATACACAATATATATATATATATATATATATATATATATATATATATATATATATATATATATATATATATATATATATATACATATGCACAGTTTCACTTGAATGTTTCGTTCCGAGACCTGTTCATTGTTATTATGAGGAAAGTTAAAATAAAAGCATCAATGTGTATCGAAACAGAAATTTGTAAAACAGACTTTCCAAATAATGAACACAAAGAGAAACAAGGATGTATTTTAATTATTTATTAAGTAATACTATTTATTTCTTCAAAAGTAAACATTTGACAGGTGCAAACAAAATCTTATATATTGTGCAATCTTAGATAGGTTATAAATCCAGCTGCTGGGGTGTTTTATTATTCAATTTATGCTGAATATTCAAATGAGATATTCTTAATAAATTGCTAGAGAAACACCGATTAAAAGATGGCGGAAAACCACTTAAGCTATTTTCATGTCATTGTATAGACTCACAATATCCAGAGGAAACATGATGTCTGATGACATCAGGAAGAATGTGCTGACCTATAAGATCATTTAAAAAGATTACAGCTCCATCCATCCACTGATAAATACTTTACAAATCGAAGACATTCAAGACAACCGTAACTAGAATCGGTCGAGAAGTATCGCCAAAATTACAAGGAATAAACTAGATAAAATCCAACCCACATATCACCTCGAGAGTGCCACAGTTCTTTGTACAAGTATCTATAATCATACGAAAATTGAAGGTCCATGGTTTTCAATGAAAGGTTGCTAAAAATGTAATTGAGAGAAAATCTGCATTTAAACTTGGAGTAATCATATGACCTTTGCTAGGCCATCTCTAGACCAATGAGTCCACGATAAAATTGTTTGGTCCCAATAAAAAATGTCAGACTTGAATAAAAACCCAAACTGCCAATCAAGCGAAGAACCTTATTCTAAAGTTGAAGAATGCGGGTGGTAATGTTAAGATCTGAAACTATGTCAGGAGACAACTCCATATTATATAAAGAAATAATCTCTTGTCTCAGTTTGGGAGTTAACGCTCACCCGAAACTGGATTCTGCAATGAGACATTTGTCCTAAGGATACCAGCAAATCTACCAAAGCATGGAATAAAAGAAAGCGGATTCATGCTCTGGATTGGCTTAGTCCGGATTCAAATTCAATAGGAAGTTAGCCGTTCATGTCTGATGTCCATCCAACCTCTCTCGACGAGCCTATTTTTTTTCCTGCAAACTGTAGAAGCGAGAGATTGGTCAATGGTTGCAGAAGAAAATCGGTTGAAGTAATAACAACGAAAGAACTCACTAAAAGGATTCACATAAGAACAGTTTACTTTTTGGCCAGTTTTCCCAGAATAATTAATATATATATATATATATATATATATATATATATATATATATATATATATATATATATATATATATATATAAATATATTCTTGAGGTTTGCTATATTTATAGGATAAAGTGCTCAATATCAGAGATAGAGCGTGTGTAAATATAAAGTGAACATTGAAGTCAACACTTACAGGCGACAGTCTGTTTTTTATGCTAGACCCAATCGTGGCCTGACGATTGCGTTTAGCATGAAACAGACTGTCGCCTATAAATGTTCACTTTATATATATATATATATATATATATATATATATATATATATATATATATATATATATATATATATATATATATATATATATATATATATATATACTATACGTCGTCAGGCCACGATTGCGTCTAGCATGAAAAACAGACTGTCGCCTTCAATGTTTACTTTTATATTTACACACGCTCTATCTCTGATAGTAAGCACTTTATCCCATAAATATAGCACACCTTAAGACTATATTTCTTCACACACACACACACACACCTATATATATATATTTTTTTTTTCAGGGTAAACTGTATTTAATTCGCCCAAAGTCATTTTAGTATGTTATATATATATATATATATATATATATATATATATATATATATATATATATATATATATATATATATATATTTTTTAGTACGTTCTATATGTATATAGTTTGTGTCGTTTTGTTCGAAAGTGTAATTTACAAATTGGTGTTTGGATGCAGATTAAATTGGTTTATTTTTATTTTTGCCGCAATAACAATATCCATGAATTCGTTGGGAATTCACAAAATTTACAAGTTGCACTAAATCTATCTATACACTGTGCTTCTTTCACTGTGATTCGTTCGTTCGTTGTTACGTCCGCCCACGGAGAGAGCTTGGTACCTGATTTTTTACACTTTGTACAAAATTACTAACAGATTGTACAAAATTAGTAAAAAAAATAATGTGGGGTATGTAATCCTTGAAATAAATAGTTAGAAAAATACAAAATATAAATCATATTTTCAAATTTTCATAATAACGCAAAACAAAATGGCACAAAGATTTCTATTAAGAATTGACGTGGACATTTGTTAACGTGAATCTCGTTTATACCGTTAATATAGATTTTGCTTATTTCTTTATTCATCCGTTTATATATGACAAGATAGAAGATTTCAATATTGCTTGATATATTTACTATATATACTAGACAACTCGTAACACGGTGGGTCACTGACGCTTTAGTTTATAAACATTGAAGTTGATTTCAACATTAAAATAATTGTGTCTGAAGAAAGTTGAAATAAAAAAATATATATACTTACTGTATAAAAAACTCACATTTTTAAATCTTATTCCCTTAAAATATTTTAAAGTCAGACTAACTTAAAAATATTTTTAATATGCCAAAGAAATATTTTTAGACCATATTCATTTGAAAATAATTCTTAAATATGCCCCCCAAAAATTTAAATATTTAAAATATTGTTTTTTTTTAAAGAAAGCTGAAATATCAATAAACATGCACGGAATAAGGGAGAGGAGGAAAGTGGGAGAGGTGGAAAGAGAGAGAGGAGGAAAGAGAGAGAGGTGGAAAGAGAGGTTGAAGAGAGAAGTGGAAAGACAGGAAAGTGGAAAGAGAAAGGTGGAAAGATAGAGAAGTAAAAAGAGTGAGATGGAAAGAGAGAGGTGGAAAGACAGAGATAAGGAAAGGCAGTGAGTTGGAAAGAGAAAGGTCGAAAGAGAGAGGTGAAATGAGAGAGGTGTGGAAAGTGTGAGATGGAAAAAGAGAGGTTAAAGAGAGAGGTAGAAAGACAGGGAAGTGGAAAGAGAGAGGTGGAAAGACAGAGGTTGAAAGATAGAGGTGAAAAAACAAAGAGGGTGAAAGACAGAGAGGTGAAAAGAGACAGATGTGGAAATAGAGGTGGAAAGAGAAGAGTGAAAAAAGAAAGGTGAGTAGAGAAAGAAATGGAAAGAGAGAGAAGTAGAAAGTGATAGGTGGGAAGATAGAGAAGTTTTAAGATAGAGAGGTGAAAAGAGAGAGATGGAAAGAGAGAGGTGAAAAGACAGAGATGGAAAGCGAGAGGTGAAAAGACAGAGATGGAAAGAGAGAGGTGGAAAGAAAAAAATATTATGCGCCAGACAGCCGACGTACGCCCGATTCACAGACTTTTACCATTATGCTACCCCGTGACACATTGAGTCACTGAAGGTTCAGATTATAAAACATTGTAGTTGCTTTCAACATTAAAAAAATTGTCTGTTTGAAGAAATTTGAAATAAAAATACGTACTGTATAAATCGTATTTTGAAATCATATTCATTGAAAATATTTTTAAATATGGCCAAAAATATTTTTTAAATACTTAAATATATTGTTTATTTAAAGAAAGCTGAAGTATAAATAAGCAACCACGAAATCACGAGAAGGTGGAAAGAGAGAGTTGGAAAGAGTGAGAGCTGGAAAGAGAGAGAGAGAGGTGGAAAGAAAGAGAGATGTAAAGAAAGAGGTGGAAAGAGTGAGAGGTGGAAAGAGAGAGGTGGAAAGAGTGAGAGCTGGAAAGAGAGAGAGAGGAAAGAAAGAGGAAAAGAAAGAGAGAGGAGGAAAGAAAGGGAAAGAGTGAGAGCTGGAAAGAAGAGAGAGGTGGAAAGAGAGAGAAGTGGAAAAGAGAGAAAAAAGTGAGAAAGAATGAGAGGTGGAAAGAGAGAGGGTTTTTTTCTTTTGGACTCACTGTGAATTCATGTATACACATCATTTCCTTCTCTTCTACTTTCTACATAATCATAAATAATAATACAATTACATCTTTCTATCCCCCACTCGCTATATATGATTCGTGTGTACGGTGGCAACCACAGAAGCAAGTAAACAAAGTCAAAGAATTTTAGTATTATAAAATGTATGTGTGTAAAGATGAAAGCTCTTCGATATACTTAATTATATTTACTTAAGTCAACTGCTGATGATTATTGCTTTAGATAAGAATGAAGAAGCTGGCGGGTATTTTTTGGGGGACATTTCAAAAGTATTTTGGTATCCCAGTCTTCTCCACAAGTGGAAAGGTTATGGTATTTCTGGGCGAATTTTTGAATTGAATCAATCTTTCTTATCAAATCGTGAAATGGATGTTGTTCTGTACAGCGACTATTTTAGATTTTTCTGCATTACTGCAGGTCTCCCCCAAGGCATTATCCTCGAGGAGACTTTGTTCATAATTTTCAGCAACGACTTTCATGATGGCATCAGTTATCAACTGATGATACAACAATTTACTACTGTCTTGATAGTAAGTCTGACCAGTTTGATAGGGTCAAATTGGTAGCTGCTCTCAAAAATGAACTACAATCTTTTGTTAAAGAATAGCTTAGTAATTTTAACGCATCTAAAACGAAACTTTTCTCTATCAATCATATAAGAAACTCCTTTATGCCTTTCCCTCGGTATGGCTGATGCTAACCTCCATTGTGCCGTCTCGAGCTAAAGATTTCCACTTACATGAAGTGGAAAGTTTATAATGAATTACCAGCTCGGTCTGTTGCTCTAAAAGTTAGTTCACTCTTTTGAGCTAGATAATTTTTCTCTCCAGAATATATATTAGTTAATAATAAGTCTAATATTCTTTCATGCTTTGAATATTGTTGCCACGTATTGGTTCTTATGCTTTATATTTAGAGATTCTTGATAAAAGTGGAATCTGCAATGTTACTGATCCTGAACTGGCATCTCGGAATTAGTTACTTTCCCACCATTCCTAAATTAGCTTCCCTCTCCGCAACTTATAGAAATATTTTCATGGTAATTTTTTCTGGTGAACGTCCCTCTACGGTAACTAGACGTTATGAATTTAAGCGCAGTACTCAGTTGGTGGCAAGGTTTCATCATTTTATAGTTGAAACGGCTAGATGTAACCATATGTAACAGTCTATACTAAGAGTTTTCTCTAACACGCTTTTCACTTCTGGAACTCTCTTTCCAGTCAACACTGATCTTTAAAAATTTAAATGCAATGTCTATCGATATCTTCTGTCTTCTCAATCAAATGCAATCATGTTTCGATGTGTATTAACAGATTTCATCAGTCGTTAGTAAATAACTAGTGAATAAACACAACATATGCTCCCTTTTCACGAGATCAGGACTATAAGGAAAAAAGTAAAAGATTAAGAAAGAAAGACACAAGATACTCCGTCTTTTCACGAGAAAAGGTTGAAAAATAGCAATCAAAAAAAGAGGGGGGTGGTTGCGGGGTTTGTTTTGTTTTCCCTCAGATCAACCAATCGGAATGGCCTACGCTATGTTTAAATGGGCTACGCTCTTTTAAATTTTGCATATATATGTGCAAGACTTTTCGGTAAATCGAATCGTGTTCTCTCAGTCACTGTTTCTTTATCTAAATAAATAAGCTTAAATTCACATTCATCCCTGCCGTGAGCCAACGGCTTAGTGGTAGAATTCAGTCGTGTTTCCATCCAGGCTGGAGGCAGCCCGACGTCTAGCCGCACTGATGGACTGTGGTGCAGCGAGGCAGTCTGTCTGTATATATATATATATATATATATATATATATAGAGAGAGAGAGAGAGAGAGAGAGAGAGAGAGAGAGAGAGAGAGAGATTCTCAAGCATTTTTCACAGAATGCCCAAATGCGACTAAGTGTAATAAAATAACAGTTACACTGTACCAATTAACAGAAACAAAATGCTCCTTCAATAAAACGAAATAAGATTCAAATTGCAATTCATTACTGGTTGCCATAATTATTTTTAAACGCATAGGAATTCCTTGACAATTATGAAATAAAAATTAGTCATTGAGTACATTATATGCGTTCATTGTGAAAAAAAGCCTGAATCCCTATTCTAATATCAAACTGAATGATTTTTTGAAACCAGACGATATTAAAGGAACGTGTCGGTCATATCTTTTCTTCATAGTTCATATTAAACAAGCAAAAAGCAACTGTAAGGCCCAGTCATTTATATTATATAAAATGTTTTAAGGTGGACATACTGAATTAATTTAAGATTAATCTTTCCGCTTCGTATAACTTAATTATTGCTGTTGCCTTTGTTGATTGCGTTGTTGTTCATCTTTTTTCTCTATTTTCAATGTCCATGTCAAACGTAAGCCATCACAACCCTCTTCCTTTCCAAAGTGCTTCCAGGGAAAACATTTTACTATATTTTCCAAGTGTAGGCGTGGAAATGTAGTTTAATGATAAGGAAAAAGTAAGTTGTGGATGACAATGCAATGCACATCTCTCTCTCTCTCTCTCTCTATATATATATATATATATATATATATATATATATATATATATATATATATATCTGTATATATACATATCTATCTATCTATCTACCTATCTATCCATATCACCACGTTCATCTCTATGAATATATAAAGATTGATAGACAGATTAATAAAATTAGTAGCTAAGCCTTTTATAATTAGAATTCTACGTGGGCCATCATGTCCTAAATAAATGCAAATAAATCGAAAACGAAATCCTAACAAGCTGTTTCTGCCAATAAAATTGCAAAAATATATCGATACACTCATCGTGAATGTATAAAATGATTTTCTAGCTAAAGTTGAATGGGAAAATAAGGAAATACATGTATTTGAGGTAAGAAAATATTTTCTTTTATTCAGTGAATGTTTCACATCAGATCCACTATAATAACATGCTCACTTTTTTGTCATAAATGCATTTTCTTCTTCTTCTTCTTCTTCTTCTTCTTCTTCTTCTTCTTCTTCTTCTTCTTCTTCTAATGATTATTATTATTATTATTATTATTTTAAATTATTAAAAAAAAAGGTAATAAAACTACCACATTGCATTATAGCTTATAATTCATTTTGAAGTAAATGTTATTGTATTCATCTTTTTAATACAAAGTAAATAGTCGCTGAATGAAACATATTCATATCTCAATATTTTATATATAGAAATCCATTCCCATTTGCCTGTAGGACTGGTGCTCTAAATATGGTGAAGCTATTGATTCCTTGAACAAATTTAGAATCAGTTTGTTTCGCCCGAATATTCAGGAATTCACCTTGGACCATATAACTCTGAAAATTCTGTTCTTACATGTGTACGTGTACATTATATTATTTATAAACAAATCTGAAAACTTTTTTATGTAATCTTTTCAACCAAGCCAAATCTTTTTTTAGTATCCACAAAAATGAACGACGCCACATGGGTCTTATTTTACTTCAACCTCTTCCACAAAGGCAAAGATTTCCGGCCTAATTATTCTTGATCAGTTAATAAATGTTATCCAGCTCTTTTAAATATTTAAGCTTATCCGTCCTTTTATAAGAAAACATATTGGTTAGTATTTGATAGCGGGCAAAGACATAATTGATTGGATTGTTCACTACATAGTATCACTAAATGGTGTAAAGCGTTAAAGCTAATATTGAAATTACTACGAGTCTTTAAAATAATCCCCACTTTGAACAAGCACATTGGCATTATTACAATGGTTCCTGTAACTAACTGAAAAGGAACCAATCAGAATACCTCTTACTAAAACTGTTTGGTCCCGATCTGCGCGCCATATTTGAATCTTTCTTCCTTTTTCTCACGTTGCCTTTCAACGAGTAGAACGTACAAAAACTGCTCTCGGAAAAACAGCTTCACCAAGAAATCCGGAACTGGGATTGTTACACTACATAAAGAAATTCTCAATTCAGACGTCAGGAAGTCCAGACTCCGATACAATGCTAGCCAACCACACAACAAGAAATCCCAAGACCCCAAAGAACTGTTCTTTTCTAAGACAAGATAAGTCCGCAAAATGCTATTTTTCGCAACACCATTATTGTAAACATCATTCCTTTCTCCTTTTCTTCCTTTGCCATTTCTTCTGTTATACTCATAAATGGTTTGGATCTCAAAGATTTGCTTTTCTTCTTTTATTTCTCACGCCGAGTCACGTCACAGAATTTTCCTTTTTTTTCAACGGCGGTAATTACTTATCTCTTCGAACAGACTTAAAAGGTTGAAATAGCAACACTGTTTTACTAATTAATGAATGATTTTCCTTCATCACTCTTAATTAAATCACACATGTATCATGTTTGATGATTATGTGATTAGTTTACTGAGAGCAAAAATGGGAATATATGAATAGAGAGATAGAAAGAGATTATTTTATGATTGCACACAAGCACATCAAAGATTGTAATATTCACAATGCAAAATCAGTTAGATCCAGCCTAACAAAAGGGATATTGTTATATAAAAAATATGTATAAATCGAAAACAGGTTGAAAATGTTACAATTATGTATCCATCTATGCTAGCCACCCACACAATAAATAATTACAAGACGTCAAAGAAATGTTAACAGGATGTTTCTTTTCTGAGGCCACATTTTTGTAAATATCCTACTCTTCTTCTTTTTCTTCCTTTCTCTTTTCTTCTGTTATACTCAGGCGAACACAATGCGAAAACAGTCAGATCCAACCCAACAAAAGAGATATTGTTATATTAAAAAATATTTATAAATCCCAAACTGGTTGAAAATGTTACAATTATGCATCCATCTCCAAAATATTCATATATATATATATATATATATATATATATATATATATATAAATATATATATAAAACAATTTGCATAAGTGTTTGGCGAAACGACATGAACTGTAATTGCAATGAATGAACTCTCAATGTTTCTGTGAGAATCTGTCTACAGAATATCTATAAA